TGAACAAGTTGGACAACACTTTTCATTGAAACTGCCCGGCTTCCTCCAAAGACTGGAGACTATTCAAGGGCGGCAGAGGGCATCATCCTTGTTACGAAGTGCTTCTTACAAATCTCCTTTACTTATAAATATGATCGTATTGGCGTTTAGTAGATTTTGTGAAGTATACATAGGCATAAAGGGCAACCACTGTACTGCTTTAGCTGCACCAATTGGTTGGTTATGCAGAAGCAGTAGCTTACTGATGCCAAACAAGGCCGAAGTGGCACGAAAGAAATGCATTCCTGATGGCATATCAAGACTTATCTATGGATCATATTGTTGTGATCGAACAGTATGAAGTGTTATCACACTGCTGATCTATGGATCACACAATTTCGAATATTGTACATAACGTATTAAGCTGATTGGTAGCTAGGCAGGTTCTCCGTTTCCTATGTTTATTGGTAATCGCTTCGATGAATGCTGCATCTTGGATGACCCAATCTGGCAGTTCGGCTCAAAGTACTTACTTATACGCTTTTATATATTTACTTTGCGCCAATTTATCGTTGCTTTGTAGCATTTGGATCAGTTTATTCAGCTTGTCTGTTGAGAAATGTTCAATACTGAATTCTCTTTTCATCACAAAGTGATTGGCAAGTTGCATTATTACGGCTAGAGTCTCTAAATATTTAGTAAAATCACTATCCGAAACTCACCCTACAGAGTTTCAGGAAGATGTAAGAAACGAGAATTTTACGCGACGCTTGAAATTGAAGGAAGCACTGTCACTATATTCGTATGCTGAATGCAAAATATTACACCTATTTATTAGTTTTGTGCAACCATTATCTGTGAAAATCGCATTTTTGTATCTTCTGAAAAATGGAACTCTTTTGTGACTCAGCTGAAGCAATCAACTTTCATACTTCAAACTTTCAATGCAGACGTTAAGTGTTGCCTCGTAGTGGATCTATTTCTCCACTCGAAGACTAAAAATGTGCTAGCAGCTAGGTTTTTCCATACATGGTTTCTAGTTATATACGTGTATCGGTATAGCTGCTCAGTAGATCTATTTGTCTTAGAAACTTAATTTAAAAACTTAAATTCAAAATTATAACTAGATGACACGTATCAAGTTCGCTTTGCCAGCGATGGCAGTCCTCAACGGTTTCAGGATTCGCCCTTAATATTACATAAATGTTTTGGCGACTTTTATGATCTACTCGATTCTCATTGCGCAGTACATCATGCATGGGACTGCTCAGGAGCTTGCTGAACAGTTGTTCACTGATGCTGAAACCCGCATTCCTTTTTAAAAACGTCAAACTCCCTGGATGATTTCTGATGAACACTTGTTTCTTAATTATTAGCTCTTTGAAGCGAGAGCATATATTGAATGAATTCAATCTATCCAGATCGCTGTCAAAAGAAATTGATGATTTGGAATTGTGTAGCCAAAATGGCCGTGCTGTCAGTGTCAGTCATCGCTTAAGTCACGACATTACTCGTCGAAGCTGTAGATGTGTCGGTATCATATCACCAATAATGATAAATGAACCACATGATTCTCGCTAAATGACGAGTTGAGTGACGTTTCAGCCGCAAACTAATCTCACCTGCACCGCTGGTTCAGAGTGCGAAAACTTCAGTCAAAAGCATTAAGCATCACTTACAGTGATTCAGCAAAGTTTAACTTGAAAGTCCAAGCGTTTGGCGTTCAGTCGGAAAAAATGCAACGGCAAACGCACGTATGCAGGCATGGATTTGAACCTGACCGGTCCTTTAAGCAGTGAGTGTAAAAATTTAAAGATTTTTCAAGCAATTTTACTTCTAAATACATATAAAACTGAACCAACGAATTACAATGCATATAGTCATATTGGACACAAGAAACAACGGCATATAGGTTAAATTCACGGAACATCAACATATTATGACACAAACTTACTACAGCTATAATAATCCAATATCATGAGAGAGCGTCTCCGTCCATCCATAACTCCATTCACTCTACTCCATCCAGCGTATATCGCTGATGGTCGGCGCGCCGTCACAATATATGAAGGAGGACAGACACATCATGTTACATTGTAACGATGACGCGCGAAGGCAACTTAATGAAATGCGTTACACATGAATAAAGCGTTAACATGCACGCATGATAAAGCTGCAACATATTACGGTGAGAACTTCTTACAATAAGTCTAATGCACTCCGTTGTGCTAAATGACCTGCTTCTAGTCACTCTTCGTCCAGCAGATTTTATTTCCGCCACTAAACACACTTCAGCGATGGTTGCTGTAGCACAACCCGTCGACCCCCCCCCCAATGCTGTCACTTTGTTGGGGAGTTGACAGCAACAGTATGCAAATAAGCTTGTTTAAATATGATTGCATGAACTTTTAACACCGAAGCTATAGTACAAATAAAGGGGGTTTTAACGATTCTAATGAAACAACGTTCTTCAACGTAAGACGTTGCTTGCTCTAGATTTGTTGAGTTCCCTGTTGTATATTGTCTTGCTTGTAGTTTTTTCCATTAAAATCGCAAGCACTCTCATTCTAAGTACGTCTCCACTCGTTTTATCTCTTAGCTTTCTCCGTTAGAATGTTGCTGTGTTCAACATTCTGCGAAGTCTGACGTTTAACGTTCTGAGCGCAGTCATCCTCATCCGGGATGCATCTGATCGTCAAATAAGCTCTACCTCATGACGCTAATGCTTAATGTAATGATTTCCGCTAGCCAGAAGAAAGAGTAATAATTTTCGACATGCTCTACTGCATTCACCAAAGTAGATACTGTCAAACGTTTAAAGGCCTGACTCATGGAAGCCTTTCCAAATTTTGAATGTTGATTGCAGTAGAGGGTTGCGGGCGTGGCTTGAATCCCATGGTAGGATTCTTTGACGGAGTAAAGTTTGTTCCTGCATATGACATTATCAAACAATGAAGTTGGTCTTTTCTGGAGCAATAACTGGCATATCCAAGAAGTAGATATGAATTTGATTCTTTCTTCTATGGAGGGTTATTTTATTTCGATTTTTCATGGGCTGTCATGCAACTTTTTAATAGCATATGGTTATGAAAATTATTAATTTAAAATTTTAAATGTCATTCACAAACCTTCACTACTTTTCGTTGTAGCATGCCGTTTAGTTTTCACACTGAATCCTTAAACGCTGGTATGCGGCGTCGAAACGAATCAAGAATGTAAGTAGTATCTCAAAAGTTGCTTCGAACCGTGAATCAAACAAAGGAGACATAAGCGTTATTGAAACAGGCAAAGAACCGATATCTCCGTCGACTAGTTCATACTAAATCTTTTTGATAATTATTTTACTCGTTACACGCATATGAAATGACATGGAATCACAAATTTTTTTATTTAAATGACATACTCAGAAGCAGACAGTTCAAGCCTCTTCTTCGATAAATTTTATCAGAGACCGTTTCATGAAGTTATTAGAAAGGTGCGGAGCATGAAACCAACTACACTGATATAAAAGTGAATTGATTCACATACATTTCAGTTTAAATTAGCACTATTGTATCACACAACTTATTGAATAGTTCTTACTAAGATAAGTATTCAAGTTTTCCATTATGGGCCAATGTGGAACAACAGATATCTTGATCCATGCCCTCGGACACTAGGGAAAATACCTCAACCATAGTCCAAGAAATTACGGGAGCTGTTACAATTTTGTCTTGCATTATGTCCTTTATTATTGCTGAAAAGCAGCGATGAGGCGCACAAATAGTTCGGCTTCACACTTTAGAAGGGCAAAGTTCGAATCTAAAAGCAGGTTATAGTTCTCTTCGTAACTGCTAATTTTCATGTGCAAAATCATCGCACTGTAATTCAAAGCATTCATCTGAGAAAAAAGACAAGTCTTTAATTTGCGATTAGATCGAACATCATGACTGGATGTGGCTATTTCAGATAATTATGATTATGCCATCAGATACCTGCATTTTGTTGGTCTAATGACTAAATATTAACATACGGTGTAAACCACAAATAAAAATTACATTAATCAAAACATGTTACAGATTGGCTAAACAAAGGTCCCTTTAATTGCTATATCATACTGCAGATAGTAAAAGAGCAGCAAACAATTCTTAAAAATTGGACCAATTACAAACATTTCAAAATTCAAAAAAAAATTCACTTAAATGTTTCACATTTTACAGCTACTCGCCGACCACATCGTTCCATCGATAAAATGTTCAGAAGAGTACAAATCAATCACTTAGCCGTCTTCCTTTGGTGGCGTGTACCAGCCTCCCCTTTCGTGAATATGTACCAAAGATTTAAAAGACTCCTGAGCTTCAACCAAACTGTACTGGCGTGACAACGACTGAAATCGTACATGCGCGTTGCATTTGACGATGGTAGCAGCAATCTGCAAGATGACGGCTTCGATGCTGTAAACACTGCTCCAACCTTGCTTGGTGAGCAGCTCCATACAAATGGCACCGCCATCGAGCACAAATCCTCCTGATATGCAAGGACTGACTACGTGGACAAATGGAGGATCATAAGGATATTCACGGGGGAATATAAAATGAAGTAAAATATAATCTTGCCGACCTTTTTTCTTGAGGGCCACTAGATCCTGTGCAAGTTGGCTATCGGGGTCTACTCGTTTCAGCTTCACATACCATTCATACAGGTTGTCATTGACCAAATCGAACTGATACACACCATTCTTAAAGTACTCAGATCGATAAATATCTCTAA